AAGGAATGTGCGCCTGTGTCTGTGTGTGCTTTGCATTTCAAACTGTCAAACCTAAATGCTGTCTAATGCAGCTGCATTTTAAAAATGACACACGCTTGTTTCATACTGGAGGCTAAAGGTTACCATCTGGAGAAAACAGGAGGACAATAAATATTTGTTAACAGTAAACCGCAGCACAATTTCTTCATTCAGTCCAGCACAGAGAGCCTTATTGAGCATCAGAGGAGACGATGACTATGACATCACATTATGCTCCATAAGGGGGAGACACGAACCAACTCAAACACCTACAGTCTGCATGTGCTGAAATCATTAAAGCAGCCGAAATCAAATCGGCAGCACATTATTTCCTGTGATGTAGTCTCAGTGTATATAACTAGGCAGGCAATGGACTGGAATATAATAACAAGTGCTGCTGAAGCTTTAAATGGCACTATAATTTTCTTATGCAGCTGGGATGGAGCTTCAGACTTAAAATGTCTGATGGGGAGCAGAGCTTACTCTGAGTGACTCACACTTCCGTTAAACTGCAGTGCTTTGGACAGATGTCAGGCAGCAATTTTGTGCAATATACAGTGAACACAATGTACTGACTTGATGACTGCATGGTCACCGGAGCTGCAGGGAACACCGGTGGGTAAATGACTGCTGTACCGTAGGTGGGAGAGCTGAGATCATCCACAAACACACTTTAATGCCAAAACACACACAGCTAACAGTGCAATTGTTGCCCTGTGGTTGGGAAACAGCAACGTCACATGACTGTCAGCTGCTGTCTGGGCCAGTCTTTATTATAAACACATCAGTGACTGAGTGAGAGACGGAAAGAACACATGACGATGGAGATGATGGAGGTGACAGCTTGTGATTCACAGCTTCACTGCTGTTGGAAAGCAAAGTACATTTAATACAATAAGTTTAATTCCACGGGGAGCTTCATTGCAGTTTTCTAGTTTATTTTATCATATTTGAGGCAATTTGATATACTGCATAGAAGTGGATGTTTTCCCTAAAAATTGAGGCCAATGCACAAGCACTATAAATCTGCATTGTTTCTGATGGCCTGCAGGAGGCGATCTACGTGGCAGCAGCCCAATATTATTTAAGACTGTGAGAATATTACCCTAATTCTAAATTAGTTTAACACCTCAGGAACTTTCCTGACAACTTTATGGTCTCAATAGATATTTTCAAGTCTTCTTTAATAGAGCATGATTACAAATTATGGTCAAATTCACAGTTAAATAGACAATGAATCAGAGAGTGGTTTACTGTTGGAGTGGCTGATAGGATATCCTAGTGTGTGTTTATAATTAAATAGCTGTGAAATTGTTTTTTGCATTCTTTAGTCTTAAAAAGCTTTGGGTTCATGATGGTTAAAACATTATGGTTTAAAAACCAAAAGAAATATTACAGATTAATTCTGGTTTGACCCAAGTGTGCTGATCTATATACTGTCAACACAGATTTAACTTCAAGTATAATTTCCATCCTGCTGTATTTTTAGATGGTTGAAAAACATGTTTTAGACTCCATAAACGTATCGATGAAACGTACAAAGCAGTTATGTGTTTTTATCTCCAATTATAATTAAAAAGTAGAGTTAACTGTTGTGAATTATTTCTCTCTAAAATGTAGTTAATGAAAAATTATGATGCATCAAAAATGAATGAATGACTATGTAGGTATGCAACTTGGCTCTGTGCAATTATTTGATGTAAATTACATATTGGATGGATGGATGGATGGATGGATGGATGGATGGATGGATGGATGGATGGATGGATGGATGG